GACTCAGTGCTCTTCAACCCTTGCATTTATTCTCCGGTGATTAACGTTAGGGACCAAAGGGAGAAAGGCATCTGGGAGAAAAATCTGCAAAAGTAGACAGTTTTAGTCATACGGCTTCTAGGATGGGGGAAAAAAGATACAGTTTTGGGAACAGGTAATCCATTGAAGAGTGTAATCTAGCAGATACATGGAGAATTATTGAAGTTCAACCCAGAGGTTATATTTAGCACTTTAGTATACATGGGAATATGATAGAAATACTGCTGTACTGAGATGACTGTTGAAAACATCAATATACTACTTCCAGGGCTTTGGAATTGTTTTGTCATCGTCTTTCATCTGTTAACACAATTTGCTACTCAAATCCTGGAAAGCTTAATGTTGTTTTGTGTTGGGTTTGTTTGTTTGTTTTGTTGTCATGTGTGTTGTTTTGAAGGTATGTAATTCAGAGGCCCTGAAAAATTTACCCTTAATCGGTTGCACAGGGGATGTGTCACTGTTTAGACAAAATCATCCTGAACTCTCCTTAGGGCAGGATACTTTTGTGATCTAATGAAAAGGTGTTTTCAAGAGACTTGACTTCTTCTGAATGAGGAGGCAAAAATAAGACAGCCCAATTTAAAGATGCAAAACAACTGGTTGGATATTAAACAGATGTTGATTAGTAATGTTGCTAAACAAATGTAAAAGGCCATTAATAATGGGGGCACCAAACACCACAAGCACACTACAGTGTAAGAATTGTGTTTTGAGGAAACTCTTCTTTCTCTTCCAAAGACATTATCTATGAGTACTTTTAGCTTTCCTCTGCTGGCCTCAGGACTGGCTGCACCCATCCGCCTGACTCTGCTGTCACTCAGAGAGCGTGTTTGCAGGTCACCAGAGGCCAGCTCCAGATACCTTTAAAACTGCGGGTGGCACAGAGCTGTTTTTAAATCATGATGAATGCTTCCTCCCTCTCTCTCTCCAGAAAATTTCCTTAGTCTGGTTTTCAAAGGAAACACATCTTCTGTATTACACCCTCTACCTATTCTTTGTCTCTGTGTGTTCACCAGTTTCACCTTTGTTTTATGAATCAGTGTTGTGAACAGCAGGAGTCACGTGGACACCCCAGAGCCCAAACCTAGGGGAGGATGAAGGCAATGCTGGTGCCATTTTCTGTTTGTGCTGCTTTTTTTTTTTTTTTTTTTTTTTTTAGCAGCTCACCAAACCACCTGTAGAAGGCAGGTGTGTTTCTTAAACTTCCTGTCACCTGAAAAACAGTTTCAGTGGAAAGTTTTCCCTCTGTAGTGAAGTGCAGCTCTCTATGTAGTAATCTCTAATGAATTAGGAATGCACATTCTCTGGGAAAAATGCAGAATTCTGTTTGCCTCAAAGCCAAGAAAAATATTGGAATTTGCTTTTGCTTCCTGTTTTATCTTAATTTGAACAACCCCCTCTCCTTCTAGACCAGGGACTAACCCCATAATCAGGAAGGTCCCTGAGATGTGGGACACACGGTACTAGAGAGCCACAGGTTTTCTTGCTCTGGGACAGTCACCCTCCTTGCTCTTTTCTGAGCTGTGGGAGACTGCGCAGGGGCAGCAGCCTCCTCTGGCTCCCCAGCTTCTCAGCCTTTGGCTCACACGATGCCTTGTTTCTTTCTGGTTGAAAATGTCATTCGAAGGGGTATCAAAAGCAGAAATGTCCTCTTTTTCAGGGAGTGCTGCTGCTGTATGCATCTGCCATACAGCAAATGCCTGTCTGCTGCTGGTCTCTGAGCAAATCTGGGAGGGCAGTTTAATAGCTGGTTACGAATAAATGAATTCAACCCAGTGCAGAAATGACAGCAATGAGACTGGCCCTTGGGGATCAGAAGTGTTATTCTTGTAAATAGAGCCTGGTATTCTAAAATAACAGTATGTCTGGATAGAATAGCCCTCTAATA